AGAAGGCGACACTGCAACTGAATGGAATACAGCTACACACTTTTGGTTAAATACGCTATACTTCATCTCTTGAATTGTAGAAGAGTGGGCAATCATATAGGCAAGATCAGCTACTTTCTGCAAAACGTTTTGTAGAAAGCACTTCCCACAACTTTGCTCAGCCGCAGAACACGCGGATCCGGATCTGTACAAGGTCTGCGTAATGATATGAAGTGTTGCGATTGTCATCTCTTTTTTTCCCGATAGGATCTACCTGGAATACTTGTTGACTAGGAACTGCTCCGATAGAGAGAAAACGGTGGCACTGGATCAACATTTTCCTAATCGAAAATAGAAGAGCGCACCTGGAATATAGATTTCGCAGTTGGTCTTTTGGAGCAGATCTGATGCATACTAGTGAATGTATTAGTGTTCTTCAGCAGTGGAACCACGAGCAACGCACGTTTTCTACGCAACGCGAGTAACGGCAATACTCAGAAATGGCTGCGGTAACTGATTTTGTTTTGATGGACTTGTAGAATATTTAAAAGGCAGAAAATCCTGAAGGGCAACCATCCTTATAAGACATACAGTAGCGGTCAAAAGTGTTCGCCGAAACGATTTTTAGTGCATATTCTTCTCTCGCTTGAGCAACGCCCTCCAAAGATTGATATACTATATTTTTCACGCCTTAAAGAATAGGGATGTTCAAAAAATTCCTCGAGGCGTCCATTGATTTGTGCTAGCAAAAAAAAGAGAAGCGCGGAAAACCGTTCCGGCGAATACTTTTGACCGTCACTGTATGGGCTGAATTAGACGGCCAGCCAAGAAAACCGCGGCTTATTTAGTGATGGAATAACAGTACTTATTTTGATAGCTCCAGGTCCACAAAAATGTTCACAGAGCATTTTTGTAGACAATATTTTTGATTTTAGTTTTCAATGGGAGACTTTCACTGATTCGGCGTTTTGAGCTCTTGATAATGCTAAATCGAGCTGCCCATGATAGGATACATCATCAGGAAGATATATTCCAGCTTCTGACAAGTGTCCGTCCCTGAGCCGTATTGAGTGGTGGCACGGCATCCAAGAACGTATTGGCCGCATTGTTCCACAAACAGTCTAGTACCATCCCCTGATACATCTAGATTACAGAGTAGCATGACAATGCATCCTCTCACCTTCAGCTCATGCGGCGGCATTCCACTCAATTGCACCCTAGTCAAATGCTCTACTTGACAGCTGAATGCATTCTGCATCTGCGTCTTCTATTTCGTCTATACTGTTGCATACTTTCAGCGCCAACTTGCATGGCATTGGCTCCTAGGCCAATTCATTCATGTGCGCCGCATGCAATTTTGTGGAGGATCGCCTTTACCGCTTCACCCGCAATATCCTCAAGTGAACGTTTCGTCAAAAACATTATTGATGATCATTGATGAGATCTTCTGTGATAGCATACGAGGAACCGTTCACGTCTTCTCAATAGTTCAACTCTCCAATCTAGAGTAACATCCTTGCTCACTCACTACCATCCCTTGTAGGTCTCATATTGATAGAGGTAAGGAGGGTAGGTGAGAAAGTGCCGCCATAAGGTGACTTTGGCACATGCACTTTTCAAATCTTCTTGCCGTTCTTTTCCCATAACTGGGAGAACTTGTCGGAATTCTCCTCCAGCAATCATGATTTTACCTCCAAATAGCGGCTCATTCTGCATCAGGGACGGTAGTAATCTACCCCAAACTAGCTGTTAAGGAAAGCCATCACATGCCCGTAACCGGCAAAGAACGCTGTTGAAGTTAACTAGCTCTGAAACACGCAGCTTCGCGACATCGCAAGCAAAACTTACTAACTCCATGAGTTCGTACCAGCGCCGTCACACGCATATACAGGAGATTCAAAAATGGAAAAATGAAAAAAAGGAGAATGACAATAATAGATCTACTTATCACAGCCGATGACAATTCAGTGCTTTAGAAATCTTTTGCTGAGGTTCGCCTCCTTCTTCATCATCCTCGACGACACTCCACAAACTCGAGCAGAGCCACGTTGGATTGTTAAACTGAGCAACCAGAGTAAGATGTATAATGTGGGGCAAATTACTTTTCGAAGCACTCAGCCACTCAGCAAAGGGAGTGGAAGGCGCATGGCCATGGCGTCGCTAACATAAGAAAAAGCAGAGTAAAAAAAAAACAAACTGCGCTCCTAAAAATTCATAGCCGCGCAAATGACACTCGTTTGCGACGCCGCCTAGGACTGCGTAGCTGCCTGGATCCCGCATCGGTGTGAGTTGCGCGCCTGACAGACTCTAGCTGATTTCCCAACCTGCTACAAAACTATTGGTCGCTCCCTTTACTTGCTTCCCTCGTTCCACATGTATTTCGCATTCGACGTTTATCGGGCAGCCCAGTTTGGAAGTTTGGTACATCCGAACCAAGTGCCTTCGGATGGACGTTTTAGCCTTTGCGCAGTTACTTGTATTTACCTGGTCTCACCCCAAAACACCATGCTATTCGCCTTGCGGCGTCCGTTACTCTGCGCGCGAGCCTCGTCTGAGTACGGCTGTGGAGTAACGCAGAGAGGCCAGGGTCGTGCAGCTCACCTGGGAAGCGGAGCGGTATCCAACGTAATCGGGAAAACTTGCACCTGCACGTTACAAACGCGTTTAAGATGCCCGTCAACGTGCAAGTTTGCCTAGTTTACTACCGAGATCCACAGCGTCCAAAGTCCATTTCTTCGGTGTCATTGAGATTTCGTCCCAGAATATAACAGGAAATTCTCGGAGAACTCGCGCCAAACTGCAAATTCCCTCTTCATGCCACTTGCCCGCTGCCATCGTGAATGAAAACCTGCTTGCTGTCCTTTCGTCAGGTGACATGGCAGCGATACTCCAGGCTACACAGACAACCTTGTCCTTCTTCTAGAAGAGCGTGGTATAAAGTTGAATATATAAATGCCTTTTACCTTCCTCCTGGCCTGCAGGATGGAATGCCTTGGTGTGCTCGCCCGCTAGAGAGTTTCCTCAGAATGTCGTCCGCAGGGGTTCGTTGATGGCCGTTTAGTTGTCGAGCAATTCTCTTCTTCTAGCGGTGAGCGTTCCGTCGTGGCTGTCAGGCGTTCTCCTTCAGTACGTTCTGGCCTGTGATCAGCCGGTGCAGTGGTGATGTTCCTCAAATTCATCCCACAGACCTGCACCTTTTCCATAAAATCAAAATACGTCTATTCACGGCCTTCTTCGCTTATGCCACGTATAGTCTTCGGCCATTGCTGTTAAGCGTTTTCAGAGGTGTTCTGGATCAGAAGCATAGACGACTACTAAACAGGGACCGAAGACTCGCGGCATTCGGAACTCTGTCGCCTTCCATAGACAGCTCTCGTCGTACGAATCATAATGCATTGGTCCGAGAGCTTCTGCTGCCCCTTGAAAGTTCCATTCACAGTTCTGAGGTAATCGAATGACTTGGCTCCTTTTCTGCTGAAATAAAGGAGCCTCAGACTGCATCGTTCTGCGTCCAGTGAGTATGCTGTATACTCTTCCTATGTGACGGTCCTGCCTTCTTCTTCCGTTCCACTTTCTTCTAGTGTGTTCTTTGTTCCACGTTTATCGAATGTAAAATACTCTGACAGCTAGACGTAAAGTAGGGTTCGAGCACAAGTCTCGCCTTGTGGTGAAACCTCCGGTACGTACATTGTCTCATGCTCCGCTTCAACTCGTGATACGCTGTAAGGATTGTATCTCGTTCGGTGACTTGATGAAGAGCTTCTTGCTGTCTACCGCTCTAAAAGGACACAATCTCGTGTTCTGGCAAATGAACTTGTAATCTGTAGACAGTGTCTGATTTTGACTGCAGGTCGAATCCTAGTATTCTATGTGCAGACTCCGGCGCACACACGTAACCTGCATTTATATTTGCGTCGATCTCATTATCTGGTCCTTCTTCACCCCTGACGAAGCGTCAATGGTAGAATGGATATGCAATCGATGCGCGTATAGTCCAATGAAATAGGCCAAGAAGTACAAATTTTATTAGACTCGCTTCTCAATGGCAACGGTTACAAAGATAGTTGTATACGAACAGATATTCAAAACAAAAAGAATGAAGTCCTAGCGGCTCTCCAATTGATTCTTTATACCCATCTTGGTGCGCGATCGGTGGATCACTCCTGATCAATTCCTCGAAAATCTCCTTGACGATGTTGTCGTCACTGCTATTCTTACCATATAAAGAGCTGCTCTATCTTGACCTTCGTACACAGATTTCTACATGTATTATACTGCTTGGATCATACCACAAATCTCAACATTGAGGATGGCCATTATAGCGAAGTGCCAGATACTTATTATATGGAACCACAGATCTGTTATCGAGCGTTGTGCTGCCAGAAGACGATCGTCCTTCCCATCGTTTGGTCGTCGGTATTCTGGATACCCATCTGCTTCCATATTTGTGGTTTCTCTGAACTGTTTAGGAAAGCTTCCTATCACTCAGGGCCTATGTACTATTGAATTTGTCACGATACGGTGGAGCTGGGTTTCCTTCAATGGATCTGGAATGACAGCTTGCACACTGGAATCCACCTCAGCCACGTTTCTGGGCATATCCTCTTTGACCAATGAGCAAAATGTGACAGTGGTGAAGTCCTTGCTTCTGCCACTCCATCACACTTATGTGTCGTCAAACAGTTTCCTCAACCTGGTGTGGAAAACGCAAGCCCCATAACTGGTCTGTCATGCGATGTTTGCCCTGAATTGAGTTTCTCTTCCATGCAGTATTGAAGTGAAAGTGATAAAAAGATCCGGCTTTCCATATTTTGACACAATCGCCATGACATCCTAATAGTATCGCACTATTTCTCAAGGAAAGCCTGGAAACGAAGAAAGCAAAATGAACTTCTAGTACCCGGCGGAGTTGTGATGTCCACGTCTCCTGCCACATAGTCAGCAAGTTCACGATAAGTGCCCACTCGGAGCTCCGCTTGTATGTGTGGTCGTTTTTTTAATGCTTTTCCTCAAGCTTCACGTAGCTGTTCACCGAAAATTGACCTACGCACCGGAACAGAAGGCTTTGTCTGGTCCCTACATAATTCCTACTTCCTCTATGGGACCAATTTCATGACATCACAACCGCAAGCTTAAAATTCGTTATTATCAATCGAGCTTTGGCTGAACCCATTATAGTTTACCCATTCCCTCATATTGTAGCTTGCGTGCTTAACAAAACCAAAGTTTTAGGTTCATATCGATCCACAGCTCACGACCGTATGAACTATCGATTTGTTTGGCCTGACTTAATCAGCATTAGTAACACTAACCCTTTCGTGTCACCCCAGCAGAACTAATAATGATAAGGTCGATCAATGGCTAAGGACTTCGGGTTCTGTTACTATACCTAATCAGTACTGGGTTAAACAAGTGTGATATATAAGTACGGTCACTACCGCTCAAAGTTCGTACTACCAGGAGAAGTTGATAAAAAAATCTTTCATTTAACTCGCACAAAACAAACAGTAAAAAAATCTCGAGAAGAGTCCTCAAAAAAACTTACCGGAGCAATTATACTATCGAAACAAAAACTCTTACAACTTGGTGATACTCAGTTGCACCGGCCTCACGCCAGTAAATCCGGGGGGAAGACGATTGACGATGACGATTGCAGACTCGGCGGTCGCGTCCAAAAAACGCGTTCCCACGGTAGGCGAAGAGCGATGACTCGGCGGTCGGATCTGGACACTCGGTACGCAGTGGACGAAGGGAAGAGAAGACTGGCCCTGCTCACAGCCCAATTCCCCGGGCCTCCATTTTCCCGCGCGTTTGTGCCTGCGTACTCCACTGAGTATCACTTTTTTCCCCACAATTACACCAAATAAGCCTAATTCTACGACATGATAAAAATACAATACTTCGCAATGATACGCCAAGGGATACAAATGAATGAAACTATCAAAATTCACTAGTTAAGGTGAGCACGTGTCAGTAGTACTTAGTGTAGTAGGTGTTGCGGTAACCTCAAACCCTAATAACTGTGATCCACTACCTATTTCGAACCTCTGATGCTAACATCGATATTTTCGCTTGATATCCACAAGCAGCCCACGATACTGCGAATTTTTTTACTTTACCTACGGCACTCACTCAGTCTACGCGAATTCGCTTAGAGCCCTTCTGCGCAAAAACCGATATTTTCAATCGATATCGATCGATAGCATGTGACCCGATAGAATTTCGACTTTTACCACGGCCCCCAATCAACACTGTGATTCCCAACCTCATTCGAGCCCTCTGCGCAAAAACCGATATTTTCAATCGATATCGATCGATAGCATGTGACCCGATAAAATTCTGCTTCTTTTTTCTTTTTGAAATCTTGCCAGCCCTTCCTGATAGAACACTGTGGAGGACCTCTAAGCTGAATCAGAGTTGAGGACATTTGTCGCATCGCTCCAGTTGTCCAGGTTCACGTTTCTCGCGCATCTGACCCTAGGCCGACTTCTTTGTCTACAGGGAAGCTCAAGTCTGTAAAAATGGCTGTGGTGAGAGAGATATCATTTGCACCCTCCTGCCCACTGAGCTCCTTTTGCAAAATATACCTACAGTCTGATGGGTGAGAACTATTTCATGGTGTATTGCGAAATGTTTGTTGAAGTGCAAAACGGAATGGTTCCAAACCCCACGCTTGCTTTGCACGGCTCGACTCCTGTATCGAGTCTCGCTTGAGCCATCTAAGCTCCCATCCTTCCAGGTCGATTACCCTGTGTTAGGGTCAACCGTGCTGTTCCGATTTTGAAAATTGGACGACCCCCTTCTAAGATAGGGTCGTCGATGCGGCCTCCCCGCCACCATCATCTCATCATCTTATCAACATCATCCTCTCTCCCATCAGCATGACCCCAAAATGGGAGATGTTTAGTACTTCTCCTAGGTCAGCTCACCAGAGCTGGCAATCATCAAAGCTCAAGGTTAAGCTTGCATTACGCTTAGGCTTAGGCTTATGCTTACACATTGGCTTATGCTAAGCCTATGATTGGGCCTAGGCTTAGTCCTAAGCTTGCTTCGAGCAAATGAGTGGTGTCTCAATTTAGGTGACCTGACCTGAGGAGGAGAAGTGCAACGCCCCCCCCCCACCTCCACAAGAAAAGATCTACATCCCAAAATACGACCACGGCCTGACCATCACCTCCGACAACTCCAAATACGAACCCCTGTTGGAAACACTACCAGACGGGGGATAAAATACTGATCAGTTCATTGCAAGTCGTTGTGTAGGACAAATCGCATTAAAGCGATTTTGAATAGAAGTGAAGTGTGTCTCCCAAAAAAGAGCTGATCAAAGCTGAGAGCTTTTCCCTTTTCCTTATCGGAATTCAGCGGTGAGTGCCTGGTAGTGCGCCATTTTCTGCAGTACCTTGTCAAGGCCTCGAGAACATAAATGGCCTTGATTCACAAAAACGAACACCTTAAACAAAATGCTCTTTCCAGATAATGGACTTTGAAGAAACTTGGATCTTTTGTAACGGTCACAAATGAGTAGAGACGGTTTTTTTTCTGAAAGTGGCTTCATGGTGATGCCGTCGAGAAGAAATGGTAGTATTTCGATCAAGCCAGGTTAATGGTAAGCTCGGCTCCAACGGACGCATTATATCAACAGAGTCCTGCTGCTCATGCCTACGCATGTGGTCGATCGACGAACGAGAAGGCAGAAAAAGGAATTCCATCCCCCCCCAAGAAAATTAGGATTGTGTAAAATCTGAAATTTTCATCCAGTATATTTGCCTTCGAAAAATGTAGTGCATTCAAACTTCCCAAGTCAGAACTTAACTATAGCTTTCTAGTTTTTTGGGCACAAATTGCGCGAAATCATGTCAGTTCCGAATAATCCAGGTAACTGAAAGATTAGGGGTGGCGAATGGGTTGGTGGTAACAAGCGCACCAGAACGCTGTCACCATACTGAACAACATGAGCGTTTGCAATCAAATTTGTGAGCGAAGGTTATTTGTGATTGACGACCGAATTAGCCTTTGCAGGGATGACGCTGTGTTTTTCTCGACTAATCACTACTTTAACCTACTTTAAACTTTTTCAGTGCTGGCCTCCAAAAGGGTCAAGGAAAGAATCGACTTTCGTCCACGTAGTAATGTTTTTGATAACGGGACGATATCGTATAAAAGCGATCAGTATTAGCTGTAAACAAGCAGATCAAGCATGACCGACGAGAAGCACTGGGAATCGGAGGCGCTCTCCTTGAGGAGATTCGCCTTCTTCGGAGTGGCCCTCTCCACCGTGGCCACGCTCGTCTGTGTGATCTCCGTGCCCATGCTGTACAACTACATGCAGCACATGCAGTCGGTCATGCAGAACGAAGTCGACTTCTGCAAGTCCCGCTCAGGAAACATCTGGAGAGAAGTCACTCGCACTCAGGTTCGTTTTACACCTTCTTCTTCAATTTTCTCATGTTTACCTCGGATAAAATTCATGGATTTCAGGTCCTTGCCGCACCCACCAGGAAAGCTCGTCAGTCCGGCGGCGGATGCTGCGGTTGTGGAGTCTCACCAGCAGGACCACCCGGACCTCCTGGACAAGATGGACAGCCTGGATCCGATGGACGACCTGGACAACCTGGTAGAAATGGACCTGACGGACCACCAGCCACACCAGCTCCCGATGTTGGACGTCCATGCTTCAATTGCCCACCCGGCCCTCCTGGTCCACCTGGAAATCCAGGAGGAAGAGGACAGCCAGGAAGTCCTGGATCTGACGGTCAGCCAGGAAATGCTGGAAACCCAGGAGGACCAGGACCCATTGGACCACCAGGACCACCCGGAAACGCTGGTCAGCCTGGAAACCCTGGTGCACCTGGAGCCCCAGGAGTACTCACTCAGGGACCTGGATCGCAAGGACCACCCGGACCACCTGGTCCCCAAGGACCTCCCGGTCCCGATGGACAACCTGGAGGCCCAGGAAACCCAGGACGAGATGGTGGCCCAGGACTGCCTGGAGATAATGGACAGCCTGGTGGCCCAGGAAACCCAGGAGCCGACGGACGACCAGGAGATGACGGTAGCACTGGATCTCAAGGAAGCTGCGACCATTGCCCACCTCCTCGCACAGCTCCAGGCTATTAAGCACCATGTGCTGAGCCATATTTTCAACAAACCGTTTTTAATTTTATTTGTTAATAAACCTGCAACCTACAATTCTGTAGATTCGTAAACAACAGCAGACCACAACGTGACATTCTGCAACTTGAATTTTGCCGTTTTTTTTTTAAATATTTTAGGATTTGAGTACGATAGACCATACTGAGTTGAAGTACTACCATGAAAGAGGATTCTTCGATAAGGACGAAGGTTGAGGAGGAGATTGAGCTCGAGGAAAGACAGGCGACCCCCAAGGTGCAGACTCACAGACAATCTACAGCGAAAGATATGCCCTGTTGATTTACCGTGGCCGTCCCCACTGCGCTATCGGCGAGGGACACGAACCGATTGGCTAACCATGGGACCACTCCTAGCACTCCTAGCGGTTTAGTAGAAAAGAGCATTCGCGTTGAAGAGGGCAGCACCGCTAAGAGTGGAAATCAATGTGCAAGGAAGGGATCCCATTTTTCGAGTGTGGATCGCTTCTCATGGTTCTTCTTCATCCTGGCAACGCTGACCACCTCGAGTTTATTCCATTGGGCTGCCTTCTGATCGTCACCACAGCCTTTAAGGCCACGGGTACGTGCCATGAGCAAGTCCCTTCTGGTGAAAAATATGTCCTTCATGCTCAGATCTATTCCGACTCAGACAGCTGCAAGGGGCGCTAGACGTGCCTTGTCCGTTGCCAGCGTTAAATCCTTATCATATCAATAGGGGGTAGTCTGCGCGCTTTGTAAGCGTGTCTCTCACGTTTATCTCTCTCCTCGAGAGCTTTTTTTTTGTCACTTGTCTATTATTCAAAGTAGAAAGGCACAATTCGAATCCGACAATAACAGTTGAAGATGGCTCTTCGATTCTTCGGGAAAGACACTAATTAGCTTGTTCCGCTGCTGAAGGGTTGTCCTAGTCCTCTGCGATTCTGTCTGGTGGGCCATTTTGGTACCATTGCAAAAAAAACCCATAGGGGTGAAATGAATCAAAAAAAATTCGCTGAAACTTCTCCTATGGGGTTATCGAGGCTCCTGATCACAAATATAAGATCCATCTTTGGCGCTGGCGCCATAGCGCCATAGCGCCAGATAGCGCCCTAACTGAATCCCACCGAATTTCGCTGTAAACTTGTATATAGGGCATATTGAGGCCCTGATTACGAATATAACATTCGTTTTGTCGTTGGCGCTGTTTTAATGCATATTTTTGCCCTCATGAACTCTCTCACTCAAAGCGCCCACGACTAAGCCTAGGGAAACGGAGTGACTGGGCCGGTGGTGGGTAAGTCAATCACTGTGTTGCATAATTTTAGTTGTGAGGTCACAGGGAGAGTGGCTTACTCACTTTGGAGCCCTCCACTATTCAAAGGCTTAGTCCTGATTGCGATCTAATTAGTGCGAGGGCGCAGACGAGCAGGAAATAGGCGCCGAATAGCGCCAACAACAAAAACGAATGTCATATTCGTAATCAGGACCCCAAATAACCCCTACGTACAAGTTTACAGCGAATTTGGTCGTGGCGCCATCTGGCGCCAATTTGGCGCCAGCGCCAAAAATAATATCATATTCGTGATCAGGACCCTCGATAACCCCCATAGAAGTTTCAGCGAAAAAAATTTTTTGACCCATCTCACCCCTACTGGGGTTGTAATAGTGCAATAGTGCCGCTATTTTTTTTTGTTGTTTTTGGATTGACCTGTGCACATCCTAAGCTAAGGAGTAGTTTAGCATTTTATATGAGATAGGGCCCGAGAAGTTCATGGATGACGACGTATGTCAAAACATTCTCACACAACATTCACTTTATTCGAGCTAATTCCAGCATTTTTAAGTAAATATTCAATAGTTAATACAATAGCAGCATTAAAAATGTGTTACTGTTATGAGATTGACATTCGAAGAATTTTTTTCCGAAATGAATCAATGAGGAATTCTCCCCGTAGCTACTGCAGACGATCTATAGCTGGATCCGTGAATAAGAAGCGTTTTTGAAATTTGTTGAAGCGTAGATTGTCAACTGGCAGTAGGCACTGCATCGGCGATAAGAAACAGTTCCTCAAGCCAGTTGCTGGCCTTTTTGCGTACTCCGATGAAGCTCTAAAACAAGACTTCTCACAAAGGAGGCACGGTACTCTTGAAAATGCTAAATCACTAGGTCACGACGCGACGACGCGCACATTTGGGAATTTGTCGCTTGAAGCGCCACAACTGAACCGAAATCTTCGTTCGCCGTGGGAAACCGAGGAGACACAAACAGCGCGAGATAGAGAGTGTCTGATGAGAGTGGAGGAGGCTGGAAAGGTGTCGTTCGCATCAGTTGCTGTGCAAGTATACTGCGCACCACGCCGCATGTGTGTGCCGCGTCGCGACGTGACCTTAAGATTCATACCTCTTCTAGGTCTAAAGTTCTAAAATCCATCAATGATAATTATCTGAAAGCAAAAATACAGAAAATGTCAACCACTAAGAAGGTCACAAAATTTATTAGGATTTCTTTGGAATTTGTCGGATTGTCGCAAAAATGCTCCAGATTTCACGCACTTAGCACCTGAAGGGTACCCTCAGTTCCCGAAGGTCACGTGTGTATCCATTGAACACACCACCCACCCCCTCCTATTGGAAGGGACCCGAATAAAATATTCACAACACAAGTGAAGACAGCCTCCACAAAATGTAATAGTTTTCTGGCGACGAAATGATTTGCTTTTTGCGGTTGTGTTCTATATGTTGTCACTAATTGCTGCTCTCCAACTATCAGTTACAATTATTAACTCCTAGCTATCAAATTCACT